CAAAATAATATCGAGCTCGACTTGTAAAGAACAATCGTGTAACATTTGATCGTTTTTTTCCTACTAAATCTATAAAACCGGTTTGTAAGATTTTTTGGAAAACAGGCCATGTGCTCTTTTGATAGACACATGGTCCTCATATATATATATATATATATATATATATATATATATATATATATGTATGAGAAGGTGAGTGTGTATGCCTATGTTTATTTGAGGATTTAAATAAATGCGGGCGCGTGTTCCTGTTAAACTTAAAAAAATAGAGATAGATTAGGGTAAATTTAAAGTTAGGGTATTTTGGTCCATATATTTCATTTAGGCACGTTCAGACTTATAAATGTGTTTATATAACTTATATAGTTGATTTATTTGTTTATTTTCTAAACCAAGTCGCACGTCACTAAATAAATAAACACTATTGTTGACGCAAATTTGGTACGAAACAATATTTTCAAAAGTATCTTAAATTAGTTTAATTTTAAAAATTTAAATTAGACCCATCCTCCTTCTTAATAAAATTCTTTATTACAAGCACGCAAACAACGTCCTGCGATTTTGAAGTTCATAACCTTCTTTTGTGTGACTAATAAAAATGAATCTTTGTTTTAAAATAATAAATATATAAAAAATTCTGCTCACGTATTATCGTATGAGTAATTTTTTGCATTGTGAATAACTAATTGCTAACACCCATTGTTAGCGGCTTCAGGCTCTGTAATAAATTCAAATATTTTGGCGATTTTACGATCTAAAACTAATAGTAATAAAAATTATAATAACGAGCTAATAAATAAGTTTCTACGTATATTTATAATAATACTTTTATAGTTTATATTAATAAGTATAAGTACAAATTTGGTTTCCGCGTAAAACCGTGTCCGGCAACTTGTTCGCCAACCTGAAACGGGACACTATTCCAGGTTGGAGGTCAACTGGGGAAAATCTCGGCCTGAATCAATTTTAATTGCCAGAATATTATCGTTATATGTTTAACTAATACATCAATTATTTTAATAATAAATATGCAATATTAGCCTAAAATTAGAATAATAACGTAGAATATTGAGCAAAATACACAGAACGTGTTCAAAAATCGTTTCGGTTTATTATACGGCGTATCCTACGTAAAACCGGCACGGCTGAGTGTCACTCAACCTATAACGGCACGTCATTTCAGGTTGAGTGCAATTTGGCGTATAGGTTGTAGCCGGAACGCCGAAAATACACACTAAAATAAATTTCTAACTATTTCATTCATTATCAGAAATATGATGGCCTCTATATGGATTCCTGTAACTTTCAGATCACATTGTAAATTTTTCTATATTTTACCAAATAATTATGGCTTTTTCGCAAAAATCTATATAACGTTGTCAAGACAACCAATATAAACTTTTACAGCCTTTGCTAGGTTTTTCATCTTGAAATATCATTTTCACACAAAGAAGTATTAGTAAACAAAAAGGAAAAAAGGAAAAAAGGGTATAACCTCTGATTTTTTTTTACTGTGCTCCGATTTATGTAAAATTTTAGAGTTAGGTTCATCTTACCCTCAAGTCCAAAAAGTGAAAATAATTTGGAGTCCACCACCACCCGAGTGGATGACACCCCTTCTCAGTTGTGTAATTTTATTTTTTCAAAATAACGTCGGATATCGATAGAAAAACTAATTATAAGAAAAAATGTCTTTTAAAGGTTTTTAAAAAAACTGATACTTTTCAAGTTACTGGCAACTAAAAATTCATATATTTTAGGCGATTTGCTTAGTTGTTTTGCAAATATCTCCTAAAATATATATTTTAACGAAAATCAAATAATGGACAAAATGCCAATAAAAATATTCAAGTCAAAGCATTTGTCACATAATTCATTATTACCAAAAATTGTCCAAACAGAATTTTTTGTTTTTCTTTGCATATTTGGGCCTATAATTACTGACTTCATGTTATAATCTTAATATTTTTTAATTCAAAACGAAAATTCGGGACATAGGGTGCTAAATTCTTTTTAAGCCATCTATTAAAAATAGTGTTGATAAATATGACTAATATGGCTAATTAACATTTATTTCCACAAAATCCCACGTTTCACCAATAAATCCAAGTCGTGTTTAATTAAAATAAATGCATCCACTTCACTAGTAAATAATCCATCATGGAATTCTTTATGTGCGACGTGTATGTTCTTGTGAATTAATTAACATCGGATGCACGCGAATTCTCGGACGAACCGTAAGTCAACATATGTCAGCCAGTCAGCCAACCAGCTCACCTTGCAAAATATTGATTCAGACGATTTCTAGGAGATCGTAATGGATGACACATCGTTATAGTTATTGGAAAACGAGAGGTAAATCTTGGAATTTTAATTATTAAGTAATATAGTTCGATTTAAATTATAAAGATCATGTGTAATTGTTAGGAGGGCGTCCATTAATCACGTGAGCGAGTTTTTAAAGATTTTTAAATTTTGTGTAAAAGAATATTATACTAATATATTGATAAACGAGAAATTAAAGGAGCGCATATTGCCCTCCTATATTGTATGTGTTCAATCGCAGTGCATTATGGAAACTGATCAAGGTTATGCAGCATGTGCGGTAGAGTGAGAAAAGAGAGAGTGGATGCGGGGTGTAAGAAACAAAAGGTGAATGAGGAACAGAGAAAGGATACACGAACGAAAGATTCTAACAATGTAAAAAATTACTTTTCATATAATCTATAACGACTTGGTAACTGTCAGGTAAAAGATGAGAGGAATTCCGTTTGTTGGCACAAGAAGTATTAAGGGATATTAGTGAAGACTCAACTATTTTTCTAAGGTCACGATTCCTTTCAATGTATAGGATGATAGGATTTGACATGTTAAAAGTATGGTTCAAGTTAATCATATGTTCTGAAAGCATAGTTTTGAATTGATTTAGGTTTCTAGAAATATATATATGTTGATTTACCCTCTTGTGTATAACTATGCTTTCAGAACATATGATTTACTTGAACCATACTTTTATAACAAAAATCCGCGCTTACTTAGTTGCCAACCTTATGTACAAAATATTAGGCTACAATAAATAATATAACAGTCCTTACAGCAACTCAATAAAATTGGAACTACAATTGCTGGTGATTTGTAACTTTGGCCAGTCAATATTTTATAACTTTTAAACTATTTGTCTAAAGTTAATAAAATATTTGATACATTTATAAAATATTTCATCACAAAGCCCTGCAGCAACTCGGTGCGCAATAAAAAATGAAAAATATCAGATCGTGATAATATTTTCCTAGAACATTATGCGTTTATTTGGACAGGACAATGCGTTGCATTTTAATTTAACTAAAACGGAAAACGGTTTTTGTTAAGGATCCAAACAACAATGGTCGTTCTTTATTCTCGACAATGTTTTCAGTCGTATTTCATACGAATGTAGTGTTTTTTTCCTTGTGTCTGTGGATTTCCGTGGTAGTGTGCATGCGCATATGTTGCGTGCGAGCAGTGACTCATATTATTTCACGTTTGTTGACCTACAACGTTTGTATCAGGGGAGCCCAGGAGGAATGGAATTATGTTTGAAAAAAAACTAGTGGGGTACATGGCATCGTGCCTTAAGGCAAATTGCTGGAACTTCCCGCACCGTAATTAAAAATCTTGGAACCCAAAAAAAATTACACAAAACTTGTACACATTATTAAAAACTCTATAAAATATCTGATAATTTGATGAACATGTGTCCAATAAACATTTTTGACCGCCAAATGACATTTTTTTAACTTATTTTTATTGAGAGTCCATAACCGCTAGACCTGCCTTATCAAAAATTTAATCAGTTCTTCATCGTGTCAATGCAAGTAAAATGTTTTATGAGTTATTAAAATCGGACGCTTCGTTCTCTTAAAAACTGCGTTACTGTTTTTAGCGCTTTTTGTCCCGTATCTTCGGAACGGCTAAACCTGCCTTCGCCAAAATCTAATCAGCACTTCTCCTTAACGAAATACTTACTTAATACGAATCGAATGTTTTTTGAATTATTCAAATCGGCTGATCGATGTTCCCGAAATCGTCGACGAAAATATGTATCCGCACATCCACATACATCAATTTCTAAGGTATGCCAAAATATTCATTTAGTAATTTTTGAAATAAACTAGTGGTGTGTGGCATCGTGCCTTAAGGCCAATTGCTAAAACTTCCCGTACCGTAATGAAATATAAGAAGAATTTTAAATGCTTTCAAATAGATTATTATAAATATTGCAACTATGATTATTCGTATTTTGTCGACAAAATATAAGAGCCCATAAAATGGACAATGGCATTTATATATGTGGAGGGAGTGCCCATTAATCACGTGATCGATTTTTTAAACATTTTTCTAATTATTAACTAATCAACCCCCCATTAATACGTATCAAATGTTTATTGACTAATTCCAATTGGTAATTCCGAAATCGTCGGCAAAAATTTGTATCCGCACATACATACACACACATACATCAAGTTTTCCTAAGGTATGCCAAAATGTTCAGAAACATTTAAAACGTAAATGTATATAAAAAATTCAGTATAAAATATATATATATGATTGCGGTTGTGGAAATATTTTGTTTTTAAGTGAAAGAAGCAGATTTATACATTTATATAATTAAATAAAAATATAAGATGAAATTTTTTTTCTAATACATTAATAATGTTTTTTCTATTTTTAGTTATTTATTTTATAATTTTTATTGTTATATGTTTCTTAGCTGCATTCAACAATTGTTTATCGTGTTTTATATAAATCATTTGCATACACGTTGATAAAAATAACAAATTGTACAACTTGACATAACCTCAAAAAAACACCTAAAATTTATGCCATATATATGCATTTATATCCACACATAAAGCATTCTATATTTCTTCATACACAAATTAATTTAATATAAACATCATTTTATTATTAAATGCAATACAAAAGCTCAATTCTACTAAACAAGGTCAATAAAAACTCACCATTATTGATACAAAAAGAAATATCCACTAAACAGACACAAATAAACAGAACCACCGCATTTATCTTGCACCACCGCATATTAATAAAGCACAATTTTAAATAAAATCAATTCACAGAATCAAATAAACTTTTAAATAAATAATTAAGGAAATCATGTCGTCGACGACATGTTTGTTCATTGGATTTTCTATCAACACTGAAAGAGTCGCACCGAGAGCATGGAAGAGGCGGACTAGACTATAAATATGAACAGGGGAGGAGAACATTTTGTAAGAAGAACGTTATTCATTAGATAAAAATAGATAATATTTTATTTAATATAGCTCTTATATTTAATATATATCTTATATATATATATATATATATATATATATATAAACTAGCAAATCCGACAAACTCCGTTTCGCCACCAGATGGTTTCGTGAGAAAGATGAAGAAATTTTTTGTTTGTTTCATATTTTAAAAGGAAAAATTTGATTTTATTATACAACAGTCATGAATTTATTTCGATTACAAAAATGAAGTGTTTTTTATTTGAACTTCTCTGAGTAAATGAAAGTAAATCCGCAAATTGTCCGTTGCATTGAAGTGCTCTTTGGTAAACCACATTTTTTGTTTTTTGCTCTGACGTTGACACAAACAAAGCGGATGGTTTTTCAACTTGTGAACAGGCAACGTATAACTGCCCATGTGAAAAACAACGATTTTCTAAATAATCTATTTGAAATTTATCCCGCAAACACTAAGCTATTGGCCTTGCGACTTGTTATTGCGAACGCAAGGCAAACTGGAAATTGCAATCGTTTGAAGTCAAACGGAAGACCAGTCGGAATCATTGGTATGTCACCAAATCGCCAGCAATTTTTGATTGAATGGTGAAATTCAGTGCGTGTACATCATTATTCTTTGCGACAAGAACTGCTCAACGAATGCAAAATTGTCGAAATCGGTTCGTGCGTTCTGGAGTTATATCGTCAGGAAGGAAAACGCGACTTATTTTTATATATATGTAGATATTATCTTGAAATATGATAAAAACTATAACTATCTAAAAAATGATGTCGGTGTAAATTTTTAGTTGATTTTTTATATACATGTATATTTTGTTTTGTTTGTAAGTTTAATTCCTTTGTGACCTTTATATAATGCCAAAAAAATCTTGAGACAAGTAATCTCAGCACAGAGATATATTCCATATTGGATTTTTCATAAAGATACAAATTCGATTACTGTGAAAAAGGTAATTAGAAAATTCATTAACTTTAAAAATATTCCTTGATTTAACAGCAATGCCCTTTATATACCTTTACACCCCCCCCCCCCGGGCAAAGGCCATTTACTCATGGAACAACATTGCCATCTATATGCTACATGTTTTAGGTGATTAGGTCCATAATTTCAAGTAAAAACTCTAATAACTAGCGCTTAATATTAGGCTGTTCGAGGTAGGTATCCACCCTGGAACCCTGGCTTGCAAATATAAAGTTCTTATAACTTCAATATTTTAACTGAAAAAAGTATATTTTCCATTTTCTATGTTTTTATTTATAAGTTTAATATGATATAGATTATATATGATAAGAAGATATAAAACGTGTAACCTTCAAAAATAATCTTAGATAATGCTAATTGGATTTAAAAATAATAATAAGATAGGTACATATTATCAGAGATAACTGTTACAGATTTCGATATTATAATATTATATGAACCTTTGAAATTTTTCTAAGAAACTGAAATTTATATTAAATATAATTAAGAATTACATATTAAAAAAACATGTATAAAAATTATCTTTAAAAATAGTAACAACTTTTAATTTTATTTATATTAAAATGCATAAATAAATATATATAAAACTAGGCAATAATATGTAAATTCAATTATATTTATATTATATTTTTCTAACATAATGTATTGAGTATTCTTTATATAGCCATCGTGGCCACACTTCATTATTGTTCTTGTATTTTTTTATTAAATCTTTATTTTTATTAGTAATTAAACAATTTCATTAATATAGATATTTAATTTTAAATTATGTACAAAATTAAATAAATGTTAAAAATGTTTAAAATTATAACACGATACAGCAAATTTAAAATTTTAATCAAGTCTAAATATTCAAGCAACATCTCAATGCGCTCGGAAACACCGCAGCCAGTTTATCATTACTATAAGTTCACTATTCTTTGTAATTTCGGAACTATTTAGGTAATTAAAATGGAATATTTGGTAAATTTGTATGTAATTAAATAAACTTTAAGCAATAAACTTTATGTATTATCTTACAGCATCTCTGTATACGTTACAATTGTATTGGAACTAAGACAATATCGCACAGTGCGCAAAAAACAAATATTTTTTAAAACGGTTTTTAACCCTTGATCCATACTATTAATACAAACAAAATATAAAGCAAAGTTGGTAAAAATTAAATAATTAACAACTTTTCCTAATGATGAAATTCATTATACCAACTCCATTTGCTCCTGAAACGTTTTCAGAAAAATAAACCTATAAAGGTTTGTTTACAAAGTACAGAAAGATACGGAAATAATACTAAAAGATTGTATTTGTGCACCTGCCTTTGAAAAATGTAGCATGTTATTTATCAATGCTCTTTTATAAGTTTTCTATGTTATTGGAATCTATACGTATATGTGAAACTCAAACCATTACTAAATTATCGGCGCCGAGATGGAGTTCCTTGTTTTATCTGAACAACACATTTATTTTAAATTTTCTTTAATATATATATATTATATATATATATATATATATATATATATATTATCACTATTGCTTGTAATTTAATAACTACGTCAACAACTTTGTGAAGTTTGCAAAAAGTCTTCTCTTTTAATTTTTTTCAACAAAATATTCATCTGATGCTCAAAATAAACAATAAAATTTTTAAAAATGTTCTAAAAATGATGCAAATCAGTTCAAATCGACTAAAAATGAGTATAAAAAATAAAACCCACAAACAGTCAGTTCACAGAATATATTTCTATTAATAAAAGATATGTAGTGATCATACTTCGGTTAAAGCAATATCTAATGCTAAATGTAAATAAACATCTACATTTGAAATTGCTATTATAGTAACATACAGGATACATTATAAAAATAACATTACACACATTTTACCAAATATCTATGTATAGTTATGATTAAAATTACAGTCAGTTTATAATTAAAAAACTAATAAAGGATTCTTATATCAAGTTTAAACAATTGTGCATTGTTACTTCTAAACTAAAACTATTACAAATTGATAAACAATAAAACTGCACAGTAAAAATAAACATTATGCAGGAAACAATCATATTATAAAAACAAATATGTCTATTGTTATATAAAATATTAAAAATAATGTTATACATAATAAAATACAAATTTATATTTTGCTTGAAAAAGAAAATATTTAAAATTACATAATCACGCACCAATTCTTTTTGGTCTCATTCCCGCTATAAACTTCTAGACGGTTTTCAGTGATTTCACCTTCTTGATCATTTTCAATCTCACATTGCTTTTTGGGTGTACTGCTACTGATTTTTGATGAATAAAACCTTCTTTTTAAAGCTGCCATAGGGCTCGGTATAAAATTTCTGATGAAGTCGGTAGTGGAAGCATCAGTCTTAATTCTTTTGCTATCATCTTCTTCATTAGGAGTTTTCGACCTCTCCCTTTTCAAGCTTCTATTCACTCTTGATCCAATGCTTGTGTTTAATTCTGTGTTCACTGTAACGTTCATGCTGGTTTGTGTATCATCTTTCTTATATAAAGAAGCATCGGCCAAACGCTTTGCATTCCTGAAACTAACTTCACGCAGAGGTCTAAGGGATTTTCGACCAGATATACTCCTTAGAGACCTTGAATAACTTGGGCTTTCAGTAGTAGCATTCAAGGAATCAGAAAAGTTGCTAGCATTTGTGTTGCTTGTTTCTTCAATAGTGAGATCGAGTGTTGTGTTTCCTGAATAATTAGCAATCAAACTTGCATTTACATGCTGTATATCTTGCACGACTTCAGTGCTGCTAACTTTTTGATCCAAAGGTGTTGTAGATGATTCAGTATCTGTATTTGTATCATCACTTTCATCAACGATAATACAATCTTCTTCATTGGACGTTGTTGCTTTAGCCAGCACACTTTCTGTAGATTCTTTTGTTATTTTAGGTGTTTCTGGAGTTGGCATCTTCACTACTTGAGATCTTCGTGTTATACTTCTGTTACTACTTGGTGAAGAAGCAGTTGGACTTCCATCAAAAGAGCATTCGGATTCAAACGAATCGTGTATTGAAAGTTTTTCATCATCTTCACTCAAAGTTAATACTGGCTCTTCCATGAATCCTTCAGTTTTATCATTTGATTCTTCAACAACGTCCTGATTTGTTTTAACAGGTTCTCCAGAACCGTTTTCTTGATTTCCATTGGTGGTAATGGACTCTTTACCGTTGGTACCGTCATGCTTGATACTTTCCTCCAGTTTTGCATCTCCGTTTGTACCATTCTCCAATTTCTCACCATTCTCTTCCTTCCTGTCTTTGGATGGAGATTGACCATCACCATTCATAACTTCCTTGGTAACAACTGCATTCTCTTCTTTTTCTACTGTTTCTTCCTCAATAACGAGATGCTTTGGCAGAATCACCTTATCATCACTTTGATTCTTCTTGGAAACTTTCTCCACTTTTCCAGACTCCTTGATTGGAGTGTTTGGTCTGGATGATTTTTTAGTGGACATTGTCTTTCTGTTACTACGTCCGTTTAACCTCGTATTCATTCTGTTAGAATAGATAAAAATTATAATCATAAATATAAAACGTCATAAAACAAATGCTACATACCGAAAAGCAATACGAGTTTTTATACATCGTCGTTTAAATAAAAATGAGACTAATATAAAAATCTAATAGGTTTTATCAAATGTAATCACGCAATTTCAAATCATTTCAATTACGATAGGAAATCGGTACATGTAACCAGATAAGACAGATTAAATATTTGTTCGTTTAAATTTTTTTCACCGAAAAATTATTCGTGATAAACGATTATAAATAGATCATTTAAATTTAAATGAAGCAATTTAAAATGTAAACGAAGTACCATACGTTCAAAATAAAATGCGACAAAGAAAGATGTTAGCGTTCTTCGTTAAATAAACAAAAACACCGAACATATGTTTCGTTCAAATGAACAAAAGCACAATTTTAAACAACGTTCATCTTGAAGATTTGGAATCTCTCTCAAATATAAAGAAATTAAACAAAAATACAAAACTTATTTATCATATCAACAAATATCATGATCAATTGATAAATTATAGGTGATTCATCAATAATTGAATAAATTATATCAAATTGATTACTTGTAATGTTAAAATTATGCTGAAAGATGATAAAAAATCTAAAATGTTTATCAATCAAGCAATACAAAATTTATGATTCAAAATTCATGTGAAATATATAATTTAAAATTTAATTTATCAATAATGTTTATTCAATAAATTTCTTATGATAAGCATTATTATTAAATTAAATTTTAAATAATAATATATTTCACTATTTTCATTATATTAGAATCATTACAATACTAACGCAGTGAATATATAAAAAGTGTGTACAGTGATTAATTAGTGTGTAATGGTGTGTATATTGTGATTGGAGGGTGTGTAATAGTGTGCATAAATTATCAATCAATGTGTAACTGTGTATAAAGTGTTAATCAATTCTTACAAGTGTGTTTATTGTGATTGGTGAATATGTAAGTATATGTAAGTGCGTGTGGTGTGATTGCAAATGAATAAAAACGCGTAGTGTGTATACAAGTGTGTAGCGTGTATACATATCCGGTGATGGAAAATAAAATGTATATGTAGCATGTTTACCAACTTGTGTGTAATTGTAAATATTTAAGAGTGTGTGTAATGATTCTCAATATGCAAGAGATACACCAATACTTAAGTATATTCAGTATGATAAATCGATGAGAAAGAGCTTGTAGACTTTTCATGTGCATGTATAAAAGTGTAATGTACGTTTAATGGATGCATAATCATATTTAGTACAGTAAACGGAGAGGAAAAAAGGGTATAACCTCTGAATTTTTTCACCGTGCTCCGAATTGAATGAAATTTTGGAATTAGTTTTTTTTTCTTTTAAATCATATGGTTTAATGAGCGCCATTTCCACCAGAATTAAAGTAATTCACATTACATCTAGAATTCACTTCATTATAGACATCTTGATGGATTCTAGCAGATTCACTACTTTAGTACAAACTATTTTCAGAAAACTCACGATTTTATAAAAACTTTTTCCATTTTTTTTAAAAATCGAAATTATTTTCATTATATCTCAAAAAGAATAAAAGACACGTATAAAAGCATATAGATAAAAATCAAAGAGATCTTTCTGGCTTATTATTGTTTTTTATTATTTTTCTTTCACACAAAAATTGACAGAGTTATGAATGTTTAAAAATTGGAAAAAGGTTTTTATAAAATCGTGAGTTTTCTGAAATTGGTTTGTGTTTCTGAAAAAACTTGTAACAGCACTCATTTTAAAGCTTATATTGAGCACTATAAAACCCAATTTCACCGAAATGCATAAAATGTAAAACCTCGACACTAGATGGCTTTAAATACAACAATTAAATCTTGAACGAAATAAAAAACGACTTTGCTCTTTCAAATCTTGCTTAATATTTTTCCTAGAACACTTTATGTAATACCGATGTATTAAGATTTTTATTGACATTATTTTGTTCATTACAAGATTTTTGTTAAGATATATATTTTAGGAGATATTTGCAAAAAAACGAAGAAAAACGCCAAAAATATATGAATCTTTAGTGGCTAGTAACTTGAAAAGTATTAGTTTTTTTGAAAAACTATAAAAGACATTTTTTTATAATTAGTTCTTCTATCGATTTCCGTCGTTATTTTAAAAAAAATGTAATTACGCAATTGAGAAGGGGTGTCATCCCCCCGGGGGGTGATGGCGCAACCCGAATTGTTTTCACTTTTGAACTTGATGGTAAGATGATTTCCAAAATTTCATTCAATTCGGAGCACAGTAAAAAAATTCAGATCTAAAACGCTCCGTTTACTGCACTAATTTAACGAGATTAGTAGTAAGAATAAGATAAGGGTAAAATTGTCACAAATGTATATATTCATGTGGTGTGCATATGTTATCTTTAAGAATAATAAATTAAAACATTTACACATTACTAAACTTTTTGATGAATCTACAATTTTTGCAGTGTAAGAACTTCCTGCATGACTAATTATTAAAAGGAAATGATACTACAGCGTGTGCAAATAATATTTGATAAAAACTACACTAGACTATATTACAGTGTCAATAAAACTTTAGGATAATAATTGATTTCTACTCTTGCATCCAACAACTATAAAACATAAATTTAAAATAAGTAACATGCAGCGAAGGGGAATAAGCTCTTAACTACTGTTTTTTTTCTAAATGACAATTCCATGCGGGTATTTATAGACAACAAGAACAAAACTGAGAGTAAGAATTTCAATAAAATGATCAGTGATTCTCAAAATAATACTGGTAAAGTTTATCTAATCATCGACCAATCTAATATAGCGTAGGACTTGTAATAACATAGAAAATCAGCAATTAATTATTCAAGGTATTTTGATTTTTTCTGTTCATTGATCTCTACAAGAGGTAAAATTTGCAAGAAGTTGATGTATTCAATTTTGCAATTTTCAAAGTGTATTGTCTAGACTTGTAAAAAAAAATCAGGATATGCTGTATCTCAAAGGTTCTTTAATAACAACTTGTACCAAAAATAAGAATTATATAAACTGAATTGCAAAGTTGAAATTATTTGTTTAAAGTATATTAGAACTATGGTCAAAATTAAAAATAAAATCTGTATTATTTTCGTTACACAAAAATTTTTTTTTTTGAAAAAAAAGTAGAAATAATTTTTTTTTCCAAAATCAATTATTTTGTTAAGACAAGCAGAAAGTTCTTTGAATCATTTAAATCGAACGCTTAGTTCTCTCAAAAACTGCCATTTTTTACACATTTAGCTCCGTATCTTCGAAATGGCTGGGCCTGCCTTTGCCAAAAACTAATGAACACTTCTCCCAATCATTACTAATTGAATGTTTTTTAGATCATTCAAATCGAATGCTCCGTTCTCTCAAAAACTCGATTTCTATTTTCTGCACTATTTGCTCTTTATCTACGTAACTGCTGGACCTGCCTTTGCCAAAAACTAATCAGCACATCTCCCTATTAATAGAAATCGAATGTTTTTTGAACCATTCAAATAGGTTGATCCGTGCGCCCGAAAACGTTACTGAAAAATTGTATTCATACATACACACACACACATCCATTATTTCTAAGATATGGCAAAATGTTCAGAAACCTTCAAAACGTTGAGAAATGTAAAAATTTTCAATTTCGATTTTCGGCCCATTAAAATAACTTACCCTACGGGAAGTTAAAAAACTAAAATCCTCAAAGTAGCTTTAATAACAACAACTATTATAATCAATAAGTTTTATAATAAACATTAATAATTATAAGGCATTTTCTGAATTAAACTTTGATAATCAGAATTCAAGGAGCTGTTGTGATATAATAATAACAAATTCTGTAATCAATGAGTTTTTTTTAACAAAAATGATTAATTATCAGATTTTTTTAATCAAATTCAAAGCCAATCAATATTCAAAGAGCACTGCAAGATTGATATGATGCGTCAGGTCAAAAATGCAGCAAAGATTTGGATTTTTGCAGACGGAAAATGTTCTACACAAAGCAAGTTTCAACTTTTTCAACAACGTACAATTTGTTTTTTTTAAAAAAAACAGATGATTGTGAAGTCACAACTTCACACACCACTAGTTTTTTGTCGGACTGATTTGATAGATGCGATAAATATGCGACAGTTTTATATTTCTCCGACATGAAACATTTTTTTCATACCTTCTTATAATTATTAATATTATTCTCAACATATTATTTCCAAAGCAATTAACAATCTGAAAATGCAGTTATTCTCCGTAAAAACTTGTTTATCAAGTCAAGTTCTTGCAGAACCTCGAAGCAATGGTAAAAGTACCGTAGGCAGACAACTACCTGGGTCGTTTTCGAATACCTTCGAGAGTCCATTGCAAGACTTCTTATTTTTAATTGAACTTTCATTATTTGACGTCACAGGTGCTGATAGGGCTCCGGAGAACCGGTTTTGGAATAATGAGAAGGAACTATTATTTTTAAACCGCAAAAGTACTGAGAAACTTGGGAATTTGAAGGTCAAATAAAAAAAAACTTATGGATTTAACACAAAATTGCAGGAGATTTTTTCGGTGCAATTTATTGAAGGAGCTCTGCAGAACGTCAATATTGTAAATTTAATATATTACCCTTAAAAGTGCTTAATATAATAATAAATACCAAAATCCATAACGTTTTAAACAAAAACCAGGAGTTACATGAAATTTTATAAAACATTGTACAGGGCTGCATTTTTTTCATGTACTTAGACCCCAAAGAAAATTTCAAGAAGTATTATTTCTAACAAATCCAAGTTATTTTGGACATGCCATTCCTCAAAGTGTCGAAATAATGATAACAAATATGAAAAGCAATGATTTTTTTTATCAAAAAAAAATCATATAAGATTTTATTTAACTGTATGCTCTGTATATTATTTATAATTAAGAAGCTCTGCAGGACGTACTGTAATTTGGATGCCTTAAAGTCAGCGGTTTACAAACTTTTAGTATAGCTCTGCCCGTGTTTCTTTAAAGAAAATGTTGCGCTTTCCTAACAACCTAATTGCCCCGCGCGTCCCACAGTTTGGAAACCACGACCTTGAAGTGTTTATTAAAGTCACAAAAAATAAGCATAAGATTATGATGGTGGTGCAGAAAAATCAGTACTAAGATTTTGAAAAATTGCAAGCATTATAAATATATTCAAACACACTGTACACAGATATATATATATATATATATATATATATATATATATATATATATATATATAAAGCGAGAGGTTTTTCTTCAGATGGTGAAATAATATGATAAAATTGTTCTTGGGCATCCATCCCGTAATAATTGTAAAATTAAAATAAATAATATAATTTATTATAAAAAAGCTTATTCCAAACGAACATGTTGTCAGCTTGGAGTATGTGTTACATGTAACACAAGTATGGGAAGAGCCTGGGGAGTTTGTCAAAAGAAATTTTCATGATGTGAGGAATTAAAAAACTATAGTAACATTGTAGAAATAAATGGAAAAAATTACAAAAAACGACATATCATTGTTTGACATTGACAACATTTGAGAACTGTCATCTGCCAAAAATGTCGATTCACTTGAAATTTGAATTTAGTTTAAGCGAGCCTAAACAATATTAGTATATAATATCCATATTCATGATTATAAATGAGAAAAATTTAAAATCTACAACATTATGGCCGAAAACCAGCTGAGATGTGCCAGAAATTAAAACAATATAAGGTACAATATATGATGCTTGGCAGATGAAATTATATAATTTAGTTTAATAAATAACACAATACGTCCAAAATTGCATATACAGTATTTTTTTAAACTTATGCATTTTGTATTTTGCTTTCATTTACTAAATTATTTAAATACAAAAGAATATTTCTACTTATTGAAAAAATGATTTAGAATTTTGTTTTATATATGAAAAATTCATTTGTTCATGATCTTAGATTGAACAGTTCCATATGAACTAGATTTTACAATTACTTCACCTAAGATTTTAACTAAAGAAAAATGTTTATAAAATTATTAGTAAGAAAAATGTAATTTAGAAATTGTAATGGCAAGAAAGCAACTAATATAGGGTACTCAATTATAAAAATTATAGACCGTTTTAAATTACATAAATTATTGAAACAATATAGGTTTGAAATAGCAAAGGTGATATTGTTCTATTACCGTAGATACTATATTTATACTTTCTGAATTTCTTATACTGATCATAATTTCTTATACTTATACTAAGACCATAAATGGAAGGACATTAAATAAAATATTAAAAAGTATAGGATACGATAATAAAAAAATTGGAACTTGAATTGTAGACGTGAGTACAGGACAGCGTCTGTCGGGTCATCTAGTATATATATATATATATATATATATATATATATATATATATATTCATACATATATATATATATATATATATATATATATATATATATACAAGAGTGTGTGTAAATAGTTTTACTTTAGAAGTTTGTGGAATGCGGCATGCAATTACTTCGAAGGTATTTTAAACGATTTATTTTATCTAGTACACTCTGCAGTAACATGTTTATTATCAATATATGTTGCCAATCCCTGATATGTTTTTTAAACTACATAAATTAAGGTTTCAATTTATATTTTGATACATATAATGCTCTATTATGTAAGTAGATTCAAATAACAATTCAATTGAGCTCTATATATATAATAGGACTGCAATGGAATATGTTTATCCGACGGGTGAAAAATAATAAATAATCTAATAAAAATAAGCATTGTAATAGTAATTGCTATGAATAAAATAAATAAAAATATTTAAAAATCATACCAAAATAAAAAATAAATTTCTTTTTCAACACTTTTTCACTTTCATTTTCTACAGATGCTAGTGATTGAAATTATTTTGTTTACTAAAGATTTTATCTACGAATTGATTTATAAACTTCTTCACCGATGTGTACACAAACTCTTCGCCGTCATGATCACTGAACTGTATTTATTATCGTAGTAAAACGATTACTTATACAAACAAAGGCTGTTTTATTACTAATTCAAAATCTTACTGTTAAATTTCGAACTCAAAGCGACTTAGATAACTCAAATACTTGCGGCTAATTATAAGTGATATTTAATGGAGTCAACAAAGAATGCCGGATGAGTGTTTATGTGTAACATCGGGGTCAAAAACACTTTAATTACTTTTATTTATAAACAAATAATCTCCTACTACGTGCATCATATCAATATTACACATGCATTTATAAAACTAATAAATGAAAGTAGCCATGCACATCAACTTACACATATCAACAAAGGACTACTACAATCGAATTATTAACTTAGCATTCCTGTACGTACTATAATATATTTCAAAACTTCACTGCACTATTATTGTTCCTGATAACTTTATATTTAATCACTTACTAAAATCAAGTCACATTTTAACTTCAAAACCTTTAAAATAAATAAATAAACACTGAATATTATCTTATCGTGTACGCCAAAGGATAGCAGGACAGCTTCTCCCGGCGGTGTTGCCAACGTGGGGGAAAGCGATGCGCGTTCGGCGTCACTCGGTTGGTAGGGCACGAACGGGACAAAGATAATGGGAGCGACTCGTTATGGATGAGCGACTCGGCAGTGTTTGACCTGAGGGACATAGAGTGGGGATGCACTAGATAGGATTCGAGTAACGTCACAGTTAATGCTTAATTGATAATGCAGAAAATATACAATTGAATTGATACATGTAATGATGTATAAAACAATTCGTTCGGCGTAATAAATATTGTATTGTTATTATGTTTTCAATGATATATTTGTTACTTGAAAATTTAGATTTTCATATATCATTGTTTATTTTTTACTTTTTATTATTTTACATGTTTAATTAATATTTTATATATATTTAAATTTTTTATATTTATTATTTTATAGTTAAAAAAATATTATTTATATTATTTTATATTTATGAATCTATAAAAATGAAAATATTCCGCACCATCTCAATAAATGCAGTATATACATGTGCATACTGTTATAAAATCCATTAAAAAAACAACTTTTTGCCAAAAAAATATATCGATTTTAGTATTTTTGGTTTGAATATATGATTTTTTTTTATATAATTTTATTTGAACAGCGATCAGAACTTATGTGTTCTATGAGCTGTTGTGAATAGTATCTTACAAACTACGTTTGTTTTATTATAGATGGCAACCCAAACAGTTGTCACACCTCTGTATGATAAATTTTTATTACAATCTCTGTAATAGGGCAAGTATGGTGCAACAATGCCAAGTGTTCAATTTCCAAGTGAAAATCGTTGTCAATGTTGCCTGACAACAGGCTGCTCGAAGTGGGAATCGAACCCGGGACCTCTGAAACAAGTCCCGTCGCTCTTAACCGCTTACCTACGGGCTAGCCCTTGAATATATGATAAATTTATTTTTACGAACACATTTTTGTAGATATTATTGTTATAGAGATCACTTCAATTTTAAATGTTTCTGCACTCCATAGGGGCGCCACTAGCTGTAGCACGTAAATTTACCGCTAGATTAAACTCTAGATAAAACGTAACTAAATAAGTAATATAGTAAAAAATAGTGATTTATTTGAATACTTAAAATGCAGAATATACGAGTCTAAAATATATTTTCAACTAAATCACGAAATATATTTTCTCAAAAATACATAATAAAAAATGTTAACTTTCAAAGTATGCGCATTATAATACGAGAATCAATTCTTTAAAAAAAGTAAAGAACTTTGGCACAGTAGCACCTCTGTTGAGTGCGGAAAACACTAAAACTGAGTAAAGTATATTTGTTGTGTTTACCCCCCACCCCCCCATGGATACAATACATACCAGTGTGTGATTTTCTAAAATTGTAAAACTTATCAATTTTAGTGTTTTTGGTTCGAATATTTGATAAATTTATTTCCACAAACACACTTTTCCTAGAAATTTAAATAAAATTGTACACAATCAAAACTAATGAAATCATTTAAACATGCATAGATATGGATAATAAACATGTATGATGATCATGGGGGTAAAATTAGAACAAATGTGCTTCACCCTGCTTTAAGTTTTCTGCACTCAACAGAGGTCATTTTTTCACTCTCCTTTTAGAACTAATTATTTTAATATAATAAACGTGCTCTAAAAGTTCAATAATTTTTTTGTGTATAATTTTCAGATTCATATTTTTTTATTTTAATTGTTTTTGAGAAAACATTTTTGTAATTTTGTTCAAAATTTTGTTATAAATCCGTTTTCATTTCGTTTATGTAATTTTTTTCTTTTTACTTTTTCTGTATTATATATTTATCTGGAATTAAACCTAAGGGTACATTTACGTGCTACAGTCGTCGCGCCTCTATGGAGTACGCAAACAATTAAAATTGAGATATTGGCAAAATGGCCGTGTTTACGATTTATCTATGGTGTGTCGTTATTAAATTCATTATAGATCAGTTTTTTTTTTAAATCGACTTTAGTATTTATGGTTTGAATAATAATAATATCATTTGATAAATAAATATTTGATAAATCTATTTTCACACTCACACTATTGTGAGTGTGTGGCGACTTTCTTATCAATACGATTTTTTTAAAAATTGTAAACATCGAGTATTGTTTGAAAAAAACAGTAACTAATGTTTATTCATAAAAATCACGTTGCATTGTTTATTGTTGATAAACCACGGATAGTGGACATTCTCACACAGAAAACGGATATTTTTGTTTCAGAAATTTAGTTTTTCAGTAATATACTTTTATATTTATTATTTATAAATAATATTAAATATAAATATCTATTAATTTACAACATTACAGCCGACATAGTCTTAGTGAGTATTAATAAAATTAAACATAAATCTATTTTAATTAAATTCGAATTACTTCGTCCAAAATTATCCACAATATGAATTTTCCAGCCCATGTTTGAGTGGGTAAAACTGTTGTAGTAAACCACGTCGGGCCAGGTAGAATTTGGGGTCACTTCCAATTCTACTGGATCACCCTTAAAAAATTAAAGACTTTTTAATATATTGGATATTATAAACTTCGTGCATTTATTTTTAATATCTCTTGTAACTTTCAAACACTTAATCTTATTGCAATTTTATAATGTGTACTTTACAATTCCACTCTTTTATAGAGAAATAGAATAGTTTCTAAAAAATAGTAGATTTATTTACCTCTTCACAAACATGTTTTAAAGTCCTGTTAAATCTTCTGAATGTTGGAAAATCATCGTCCCTTCTTCTGTCGGCCCTTCCAGTATGTTGGGCCAAACACAAAGGCCCGGCTACTGTAGGTTTAGGCCTTCCACGTCTCGTGTACTCGACACCAGCCAAAACTCTCACCTGAGAGAAAAGAGCCTGTTTAAATCTAAAGCCTTTTTACTGCATGTGACAATGTTATTAGGCAAATCATAAAACTCTACAACAACTCGTTATATTTTTAATTGTAAATAAAAAAAATTAGGGACTCACTTGATGTTGCGCCGTGTCGGTCAATCTGTCGAAACCTCCACGAGGTTCGTCTGTGATAATTAGAGGATGATAATGTTCTGCAGAATGAGGATTATTGCCACCTCTTACCTGAAATATGAAATATATAATATATTTCACGATTTATCAAAGCATATATTTTACGATTTTCTTACTTTAAAAACATAAGTTAATCCTCTCCTCAGCCACAATTCAGGAACCAGCATACCATTGATATACCAAGCTAAGCCACTTGATGTTTGCCCTTAATAATATAATAATAAGATATATATATATATATATATATATATATATATATATAAATGTTTTGTATTATTTTACCAGTTATTCCTTGATACCCTCGTTTTCCCCCAGATGGTCCGAGTGTAGCTGTAAAGCTTCTTATAGACTTATCAATTATCTTTGGTCGTTCCCATGGTTCTAAGAAACGGTTATCACTTCTACAAAAATGAAATACAACAATTAAAAATATAGATAACCTGAAAATCATTCGATTTTTTTATTAGTCTCACCTCGTAAATTTAAAACAATTGTTTATCTTTTCCTTGGAGTTGAATTGAACGCTGATGTCGCCTTTTGGATAATAATCGTGAAACGATGGTTCCTTGACGGCGTCCAATCTTCCCATGGCCCAAACTATAAATGCCTCCCTGTCCAAGGGATATTCCTTATCACCATTATCAGCTAATAGATAATAATTAAATTTTATTAGTTAATTGACAATATTTAACACATAATAGTTAATAGAGATAATCAAAATAACGTAGTGAAGTGAGGGAGTGTTTTTGTGTTCCTTTGCGGTTTTTGGATATACCAAGATAGTTATAGGTACAATTCTTGAAGTTTAAAATAACTTACGAGATATTAAATTTCTTCTATAAGTAACAACATTAATTCCATCTTCGCCTCTGGAAGCTGTGAGGAGTTGAAAACTGTCTTGACCGCCCACTAGATCATCTTTACATACTCCACGATACTGCCCAAGGACCTTCACACACTAAAAAGAATATAATCAATTCGAATTGGTTCAATTTGTTACTAAAACACCATTTTTCATCTTTCTAATATCTCTCATAAGAATTAATATAAATATAAATATAAAGCTTTTTTGAAGTAAAACTTCTTTAGGCACAACTATTAGGGTGTAAATCCGTACAAATGCAACGATAATAGCGTTACGACCGAACTGTACGTCATTCGCCCTCCATGAAATCATTTCAATACGGGTCGATTGTGATTAGTCGTCGTGTATGTGAATAGAGATCTGTCGTTGTATGTGTACCGACATCAATGTTGTATGCGTACCGATATCAACAAGGAAATCGGCATAGATAAATAAACATTTGAAAGTTACATCGTAATACAAATCTTGATTTAATAAAAAAATGCCTGAATTAGAAGAATATTTTACCCTGTTCCTTGAAAATAATAAAACAAATTGAACATTTGTACTAAACGTAAGCAAGTTTATTGATTAGAAAATATTTCCATATTATTCGTAGTTTCTATAAATCTTTGAAGTTATTAAAATGGAAAATATTTTTTAGAAAAGCAGATATTACAGCTGTTCAAAGAATGAGATTATATCGCCAGCGAAAAAGTGAAAAAATATAAGCAGTCAATGTATGTTAATTTTAATTACATAAAGTTCTTCAAACACAATTACATGATGAGTGAAGTTGCGGAAACAATATTTGTTTAGGCTTTGTTTAACATAATCCACTGTGTGAATGAATATTATAGAATTTATTAATAAGCAATTACTCCATTTCTCTAATGAAGGTTCATTTCTAGATGCTAATTACAATGACAAACCGATCATGTCCTCTTTGAAGTATGATTTCAATTATATTATTGTTTTTTAATATTATACTTTAATACTATTGTAAATATATAATTATCATTACATAATTGTGTATAATGGATGACACTTATATATGTGTGCATCAAAAGTGTTACCATATTACTAATGAACATTATTCAAAATTGTTATGTGATGTATTTATTTCTACTTAAATGCTATCTTGTACAGTAGCAAATAAGTTTCACTTCAATTGCGTGTGAACCTTACGCGCACTCTTTTTTTGATAAATATCTCCTTGATTTAATCTTTGTAGAAAATATGTGCAATTTTTTTACTATTTGATAGTATTTTCTTTTTATAACTTTTCAACGAAAAATCACACTACACATTTCTTAATGTCTATATTAACAATAATTGCAAAAAATAATGCGTCATTCAAACCAATATTTGGCAATCAATTAGTAGCCAAAATTTTTGCGCACACGTACACAGATTTCCTTATCAGATAATTGCGCGATTTTTAACAATAATCTCATAATTGTTTTTACTTAAAAACCGATAGAGATAGTAGATAATTTTTTTATCTGAAAATTATTCGTCATTATAGTATTAAAATGCTCAATAAATAATAAAAGGAATCAGTTCCATCAGCTGAACTCGCGTGACACGACATTTTAATTAATAAACTAGAATATTTTAAATTATTTATTTATTTATTTTTAATTAAACTGTATTAGTTTGTGAAAAATAAAAAATATTTCGAATGAGTTCTCTGCGACAAACTGTTCGGACGTACGTGGCAGCTACAGCCGGTGAGAAAAAATAAACTTAAAAAAAAAAATATTTTTAAAATATTAATAATAAATAAAAAGTTTAACAAAAAATTTGAATATTTTTTTATATAGAATTTTATTCCAAATTTATAATATTCTGTACTGATTGTTACTTAGCAGTTACTATTTAAACACTTTCAATTAGCATGTTCAATTAGTTCTGTAAAAATGTTTTCATATTAGACAAAGTTGTAAATTAGTTAATTTTGTACAAATTTTAAAATATTTAATTTATTGTCCACAAATTGTTTAAAAGTCAGTTTGGCTTTGGGATTAAAATTTTAGATACTTTGTGAATTTAATGTATGCCGTATATTGCTCTTATTGTAGAGTCTTTTGATATCACATAATAAGCAACTTGATTTGGTACAAACTGCCAAATATAATATTTATAATACACGAATATTTTGAAAATTACATACCACTACTTTAATTAATTAAATAAAAATAAAAAATAAAACTTTTATTTGGGTTATATGATTTTCAATAACTCAATTTTGTTGAATGAAACAAATTAGTAGACAAACATATTACAAATATATATATATATATATATTGTTTCTATGGGCTCAAATGGTTCCAAATTGATAAAAAACAATTCTCTGAAAGTTTTAGCTCTTAATATTGTCTTTCAGATTAAGTGCAATTCAATCAAAGTTTTGTATAGAAATAGCATGAAAAAATTTTCAAAAATTTTGCGGAGCGTCGAGTATTCAATAAAAAATGACACAAATTTTCACTTTTAAATTATTTGTCGCTAAGTTATACCTAAAATTTTTTTTTTTAATTTTCAAAATTTTTTCCATGTTATTTTCATACAAAGTTTATTTGAATTGCGCACTATCTAAAAGTTAATATTAAGAGCTAGAACTTTCAGAGAATTGTTTTTTAACAATTTGGAACCATTTGAGCCCCTGGAAATTCGAAAATGTCCATATTAAGGACCACCCGAATGTATATATATTATTCAATTAATTTGTTGTTTCGCAAAACAAAATGTGACCCCTAATTCAGTAGGAAAAAACAGACCAACAAATAATTTAAAAAAATCAAATAAACCAACACTTTAAACCATTCCTTGTTTCCAAATTAAACAATTTTAAGTTAGAAAACCACGTGAATTCAAAATATATATATACAGACATATATTTCTTAAAGAAGGTGTGGTGGCTTAATAAAAATGTATATAATTTAAGTATTTAAATATGTATTTAAATTTATGACAGTGCGGTCTCTCTTTGATACTTTCCATACAAAAAGCTACTGATAAAATAAATTCTTCCAATTTAAAATAATAAAATACTTTGTCTTAAATTATTTTATGACACGAGATAATAAAGCGACGATTAAAATTAACTTGTCTGTAATATTTATAATTAATGTGATGAAAAATTAATTTCAGAGAATTAAAAAAAAACAATATTTAATAAATTTGTACAATATTAAATAAATATAAAAATAATCAGGCAACGTTAAAAACATTAGATTTTAAAATCGATTAGTTTAATATATTTTACAACCATGTTCAAAATCAAATTTGTGATAATAAAGTACTATGATCGTTTCGGTATACCTTTAAATCAATATCGACATAATAATTGATGTTTTATGACGCATCATTTTTATATCTTCCAATCATTCCTCCAATAATAATGCTTTTCAACAAATTTTCCCAAAACAAACAATATAAATATAATAAATTAAAATATTAATTTTTAATAAAGAATGTTGATTGTAAAATAACTCTATGTACTTTAAAATCAAATTAAAATGTGTTATTCATTTGCTTCACCACCCCTTGTGGCTTTGTAGCTTTGTACCCCTTGTAGTTCAAGTGATACAAGCAATATTTTCGATTGTACAAAACTAAATAATTTAAATTACAATAGTTTGTTATAATCTAAAGCCGATCTAAATTCATAGAATCGATTAACCGCCTAAGCTGCAAAAAGCATTTATTTATTAAATTTCTCATATTTATAAAAATAAATAATTCTTTAGTTGTTTCAATCAGAATCTGATCCATCATTATTATATAATCGATTTTAGCATGTTTTGCGGCTATTTCCGGAGGAAGTTGTATGACATGGCCGTCGTCGGCTTTATCGGAACTCTCCGACAAGAATGCTGACTTCCAGATAAATTCGGAAGAAGGTATTAAATTATATATTTTTCAAAATGTGTTTGCTCATTCTTTTATTATTATTTACGTATTTTATTACAGGATCATGGGTGGCCTCTACAATAGCCTTAGGAGCTATTCCAGGTGCGTTCTTGGCAGGATTCCTTTCAGAGAAGATAGGAAGACGATGGACATTGATGTCGTTGGGTATTCCCTTTCTGATATGCTGGCTGACGATAGGTAATCATTAATATAATCACTTTAATTTAAAATAAAATCATCCATAATTTATTTTTGCATTCCCAGGTTTAGCTGAAAGGGTGGAATTACTATATTTTGCCAGATTCATTGCCGGTTTATCAGCCGGCGGTGCAATGATGTGTTGTCCAATGTATAATGTAGAAATATCAAACAAAGATAACAGAGGCATTCTGGGATCGTTTTATACCATATTTATGACGATAGGTAATCATCAAAAAAAGATTATTGATTATTAAGTCCGTGAAGATCTTTAATATGTTTTTTTTTCAGGAATGTTTTTGACTTTGGTATCATCTACAGGACTGAAGTACAGAATGCAAACAATAGTCTTGGCTTGTCCTCCAATTCTATTGATCATCGGCGTGTTCATATTTTGCCCAGAATCTCCTATTTATTTAGTAAAAAATGGCAGAAAGCAAGAGGCCGAAGATGTATTGACCACCCTCCACGGAAGAGAAAAAGCCATTCTCATTATACAGGTAAAGAAGGTTTTTTAACTTTCCGAAGGAGAAGTTTATGTTTTCATCAAAAAATCCGATTCGCTAATTTTATGTTTTCTCGACGTTTCAAGCCATTCTGAATCGAATGAGACCAAATTTGGAAAAAGTATGTGCGTGTGTATGTGTGTGTGAATGTGAACAGGTTTTTAAGAACTTACTGAAATATTGCGGCCTTACGACAAGTAATTTAATTTCAAAATTCATCAAAGTTTGAGAAAATGAGTAGTTTTTTTGATATTTGTTGAAATTAAAATTAGACGATTTTCTTGGTGTAACGATAGAGTACTTGATCTTAATGAAAATTCTAAACCATTAATGTCCTACGGAAACTGGTTCAGTTATAAAAATTGTTGATTTTCTGCTCTTAGAAAATATTCCGAGTAAACGAGTTTGTTGTTTTTTAATGATGTGTAATAAATCCACTCGGAATTCTTTTAATCACTCATAAATTAATTTCAATTTTATTGACTAAGTCGATTATTTACATATATCGAGAAGTTCTTGCAACTTGCCTCAAGGCAAAATACCAATACCAACTAGTTTTTAATTTTCCAATGTAAACCTACAGTCCCAATGGTTTTAGGATTTGGATTCCGCAACGTACGATAAGCCAGACCTTAGGTTTCTGATGAAAGACAAGGCTTTTGTGATGGCTATTATTATATCCATGGGAATTTCGGCCTCAAGTCAACTATGTGGCGTAAGTTTTGTGATTTCTTATACGGAAACTATTTTCAAAATTGCCGGAAGCGACTTGTCTCCTAAAAATTCAGCATTGATAATCATGGGAGTACAGGTGATTGCTGCAGTAATGCAGGTAAGAACAAAGATAATTGGTGTTTTCTGAAAACAGCAAAAGACAAATACTAATTTTTTATCGAAAATCGATCAATCTATCTACTTCCAATAGATTGTGGTGGTAAAACTTGTTGGCCGCAGAGTACTTCTTCTGCAAAACATCATTGTGTGTTTGGTGGCTCTATCAGCAATCGGCACATATGCCATTCTCCAAGATACTGATGAATATGATCTGAGCAGTTTGTCGTGGCTTCCTCTTGTCAGCCTCATTATATTCTTGGTAAGACCCCAGTGGCAAAGTGTTTGCATTAAATAAAATTAATTATGCAATTTTCTTGACAGATAAGTTACGTCTGGGGCCTGGGACCTATAAGTGCAATGATAATGGGCGAACTCTTTGCATCCGACGCTAAGGAACATGCCTTTTCAGTAGCCGTAGTGATAAATTGGGCAGTCAATTTTGGAGCCACCAAAAGTTTTGCTCCTTTAGTGTCGGCAATCGGAATTGGTGCCACTTTCCTAATATTTGCTGGATTTATGGTGCTATCTTTAGTGCATGCTCTGGTGTTCGTCCCGGAGACGAAGGGAAAGACTTTGAAAGAGATACAGGACAAATTGTATGGAATAAAAAAGTAATGTTGAAAGGAAACGGATAATTTATTTTTTATTATTTTGTGTTTTAGATAAATTTTATTTATTTATTTAAAGTTTAACGCGCCGATTAAAGTATGTACAGTAGACAATTTAAATAACTGTTAATTAGGTTTAGGTTTATGGTTTGTTAATTAGCTGATTAAAGTATATATATTTTTTAAATGCATATACGTATAGTATACTCAAATGTCTACTATATATATATATATATATATATATATATATATATATATATAATTACACTTACCGGTGCCAAAGCAGTGATATTATAATCGGTTGCGTACCCTCTATAAGAGTCAATGTACGCCACTGCTACATCTGCATTTAACATCGTACTACGTTCCTCTGATCCTGACAAACCAAAGGACATGTAATCATTTTCACCGACCTAAAAAAATAAAAAAATCCATTCATACTAGCAAATATCATAGTTAATTTAATTAAATTATTTTCTAGCAAAAAAAAAAACAGTTAAAATTATAAATAATTTCACCTATAATGAACTTTTGCGTGTAAGTAGTCTGAATTTTAATTATATTTATATTCCAGCTCAATTTTAAAGTAAATCGTGTTGGATTAGATTCTTATTATGATCTACTATGTAGAAGCTAATTTAATTCTGTATAAAATATATATTATTTACATATAATTAATAAATGTTTTTAATTCCTTTGATATTCAATTAATTTTAGAGAATTTTATACAGAATCACAATTTTAAAGTATACCTAGTGCTTGTAGGGTTTTGATATTAGACAATATTAAAGATTATTCACATTTGTCGAACCGCATGAATATCAAATATTCTGCATTATAAACTGTAACATTTGGGTTAATTACCTGTCCGGCAAGTTGGATTGTAATTTGCGGACCAAAAACCTCCCAAGATACTTGTAAATTCTTATGCAACTGTAGACAATTGGGCAATTTGCTTTCGTAGCTCTAAAAATATAAAAAAATATTAGAAAAACACCAAACAGATTTGGGCGATTTTTTTTCCTCCAACTCACCAGCACTTCCACAAGCGAAGGAGGCACATTTAGAGCCTCCGACACCAAAAGTGACCCATAGGACTGATTAGTTGCCAAATCGAAAATACTGAACCACTGTATATTAAATACAGTCAAATCGCCCGGCAATTGCAGTTGAAATGTTTCCTCGTTGTAGGCCCTAATTGGATCCATACTGAAAAATCAAAAATATTTATTTATACAATTTCATTCAGAAGATTATAATTTATTTTTAGTGTTTTTTACGTACTATCCGTTTTCGTCAGGAACTTTAAATCCTTTCCAGGAAGGTTGGGCTCCAATTCCTACCAAAAAGTGGACATCCTTGCCTTTTCCATCGTAGGTGAAATTCGTTATACTATAATTGATAATAGAAAATTGTGATGAGAATCGACGCCATTAACATTTTTCAACTAGTGATGAAAACAATTGCTGGAACTTCTCGTACCAAAAATTATTTTTTTTAAAAAAGATTATTTTTTTTAAACTTTGAAATAATTAGATTTTTGAAAAATTTTTAATTTTTGAAAAAAAATTGAATTTTTGGAAAAAAACTTCTGCCTAAAAATGTTATTTTTTTATTTTAAAATATTTTGGAAATTTTGAACATTCTTTCAAAGCAATCGCACAGCTTTAGCGGCATAGAGACGAATTATCGAAGCGCGTAAGCGCCTTATAAATACGAATCGAATGTTTTCTAAATTATTCAAATCGGTTGATCGGTGTTCCCGAAATCGTCGACGAAAATTTGTATCCGCACACACACACACAAACATACACACATTCATGCATACACACATACACACAAACATCCATTTTTTCTAAGGTTTGCCAAAATGTTCAGAAACCTCTGAAACGTAAATATATATAAAAATTTTCACTTTCGATTTTTTGCGATTGCTATAACTTACCCTACGGAAAGTTTAAAACACTATATCGATATCTTGATAGATTCACGAGATATTGACAAAAAATTATAAACAATTTATTTTTAATTTTTAAAACACATCGGTAAAAGTCTTTTAATCCATTTCGTTCAAGCGAAAGTTTTTTGTTTCAAATTTAAACTTCAAATGCTGATAATTAGCATTTAATTTACGCTACACCGAGTATGAAATTCGCTCGAATGACCTAATTAATTTAAACGCGCCACTGATTTTAAAAATAAATACTGCATTGAGAGAAAAGGAAATTTAAATGAGAATAATTAGCAAAATTTATAGTATCTTCAACTTAATGCACTCCAGAGAGCATGAATATATCATATTAGAGGTAAAAAGTATATTGACTTACCTACTAATTTGAATAGCATAGTGTTTGAGCGTATTTAATATATATATATATATATATATATATATATATATATATATATATATATTATCTCCTACCTGATTGTTTTCGAATCCCTTATCTCGACTGGTCCAGATCGTACCCCGTGCAGTTTTCCGTTGATGCTCCCGGATTTTTGGGGAACAGGAGGTTCGAACTCTTCTGGTATATAAATGTCTCCAAATGCATTCTGACTAGACAGATCGTACACGGAAATCCATTTGATTTCCGTTATCTTCTTACCCTCAGGCAAGGTCAGGGTGAAGTCCTTGCCGAAGTACCTCTCGAGGATATTCGTCCTGGTAAAAGAGAATAGATAAATAAAGAGGTTTAAAAGTCATATGAGCCGTCCATTATATATTAAATTATAATATTGATTCCGATTTTTAACTTTCATTTACTTACTTTCCATGTTCATCAGGAACTATGAAACCTTGTGGTCCAGGCCTGTTGGCAGCTCCAGCCCAGAAAAATGTGTCAGCACCGTTTCCATCATAATTAAATCCCGTAAACAAAAATGTATACTGGTCAACAGCGTAAACTTCTCCAGAAACCTAAAAAATATGAACTGCAATCACTTCATCTAGATCACTCGAGTTTAAATTTAAAAAGTCAGGGCTGTATAATAACATTTAAAAAGGTTCAAGAATTTGCAGAGTTGCTTCAGGGTCTTATCCTGATATTATAAAAATAATATAGATTATTCATTTCCAAACTTCTTATAATTATAGTATGGTTCAAAATAAATGGATAAATTTAAAAAAAATAATCGTGAAAGTACATCGAGTAGCTGTAGTGTTTATAACATTAAACAACTAGTGGGGTGCATGGCATAGTGCCTTAAGGCAAATTGCTGGAACTTTCCGTGCCGTAATTAAAAATCTTGGCACGGAACACAAAAAAAATTTTACAAAATGTGTACACATTATTGAAATCCCTGTAAAATATCTGATATTTTGATGTACATATGACCAATAAACATTTTTAGCCGCCAAATGACATTTTTTTAATTTATTTTTATTGAGAGTCCATAACTGTTTGACCTGCCTTCCCAAAAATTTAATCAGTTCTTTATCTTGTCAATACAAGTAAAATGTTTTTTGAATTATTAAAATCGGTACCGTTTTTGGCACTTTTTTCCCCGTATCTTCGGAACGGCTAGACCTGCCTTCGCCAAAAACAAATCAGCACGTCTCCTCATCAATACGAATCGAACGTTTTTTGAATTATTCAAATCGGTTGATCGGTGTTCCCGAAATCGTCGACAAAAATTTGAATCCGCACACACACACACACACACATACGAACACACACATACAAACACACACATACACACACACACATACATACATTTATTCTAAGGTATGCCCAAATGTTCAGGCACCTTTGAAACGTAAAGATATATATCATTTTCATTTTTTTTAGCGATTACTATAACTTGCCCTTTCCGTAAGGACAGGGTTAACAAAATTAGAATAAATAATTTGAATATATATAATAGAATATTTAATTTTGCGCTAATTTGTTGATTTTTTTATTTATATAACATGAACTATTTAAAGTTATACATCATTTACTACAAAAACCTAAATCAGTTAAATTATATTAATTGGATAATTTTCGTAGGATTTCAAGATAGTCTATCTACAATTTAGTGTTGCATCTATAAAATGGTTTATGAATATATAAGACAATGAGAATACATCTAAATAACTAAAAAAAAAATTTATATTATAAATTTACCTGATGATGATACGTATTCAACTTTCCCAAATATTTTCCTCTATAAGGTCCATTATCATCATCACTTAATGCCAAAACACCTGTTCCACACAAAATAGCACATTAAAAACAACTTCCAAATTCAAAAACCAAAGGAATTCCATTCCAACTTACCACAAACGAATAAAACAACTAGAACAATCAAACACTGCACATATGGTAAACACTTTTTACACATTTTAACATAACTAAAATAATACTATTATTATATGGATACTTAAACTATTATTTTTTCTTTGTCCTCAACATTTTTTAGTAACCATGATTCACATATGAAAACGAAACCTGGAGTGAAAGAACTTGCAACAGACAATTCGTGGTAGGAAACGAGAAAGTCGTATAAGATTCTTATTGGAATGAGCGTGACGGCCACAAAGTGGAAGTTGTCAGACAACAGTTAGGAGAGAATGCTGTCACGTTCAACGTGCGTTCAATAAACCTCCCACGTCCTCAAAAAAAATAAAAGTTTGCAAATGACAAAATTATATATGGTTTGTTGTGTGTGTACAACTTTCAGCAACATAAAAGCCAAAAAAAATTGTATGTCCGACTACAACACACCAACTACAATTTCCATTAACCCTAACTCCTACAGTAGTAATTTAATAAAATTTAATTTAATTTTATAAACTTTGGTTGTGATATATTTTAGTAATATAATTAGGTATATCTATTTTTCATGAAGAATAATAATTATAATAATATTATGCCGGATCCAGTTCGACTCTGCATTCCGCTTGACCAATAGAAAGTAATTCGCAAATTTTAGGTTGGTACACATGGTACTTAATATTAATAAATTGATACAAATTTATCTCATAACACAAAATTTCTACAAAGTCAGAATCAGAAATATCAGGTATAAAATTTGAAATAAACTAGTGGGGCGCATGGCATCGTGCCTTAAGGCAAATTGCTGGAACTTCCCGTACCGTAATTAAACATTCGAAGAATGAAAATAATCAGTCAATAAAAATGTCTATGAATAAATATTATAAAAACTAGAATTTTCATTATATGTTCCTTGTAGATAAAATGTGAAAACTTATTGGATTAGACGACGTTGTTTATATATGTTTGAATGAAATATATATAAACACAATCTAATTAAGCGGACTTATTGTTAGAGTAAACATATTTTATTTTAAATGCATTAATTTTTAGTTCGCGAAATACTTACACTGAGTTAACAATTTTAAATAGTCCATATAGTATCAACAATACAAACACAAAAAGTATTAAAAAAAATTTAAAAAAAATATTTTCCCGGTCAGTCTTGACTTTCTTATCTACTAATGCGAACAAAAATTGCACCGACGCGCCAACCAACTCAGCTATAACGACATGCTCACGCACAACGCTATGAGCGGATGTCTAGGATCTAAACGAAATTTCTGCACTTTTTGCTCTGTATCTTCGAAACGGCTGGACCTATCTATACCTAAATCTAATCAGTACCTCTCCACATCAATACAATTCGAATGTTTTTGAATCATTCAAATCGGCCGATTTGTTCTCTCAGAACCTGCCATTTTTTGCACTTTTTGCTCCGTATCTTCGAAACGACTAGACCTACCTTCGCCAAAAACTAATCAGCACGTCTCCTTATCAATACGAATCGAATTTGAAATTATTCAAAACCGTTGATCGGTGTTCCGAAAATCGTCGACGAAAATTTGTATCCGCACACACGAACATACACACACACACATACACACATACACACACATACATCCAATTTTTTATAAGGTACGCCAATATATTCAGAAACCTTTGAAACGTAAAGATATATACAAATTTACATTTTCGATTTTTTTGCGATTACTATAAATTACCCTACGGGAAGTTAAATTGTATGAGTGAATCTTAATGAACGAAATATATGCGAATAAAAAATAGTATCATTTAAAAATCTATATTTATTAAAAACTACATTTTGCTAATGCTAGATTTAATATATTAAATAATCATAATAGTTGGTAATAAATGCAAATATTAATTAATATTATATTCTAAAAATCTATTAAAATTTGATTACATATTTTGATAAATATTTTGTGAAAAATCTGCGCCTATCAAAGTTTTGGAAATTTTGAGTAGCTAATAGAAAATTTGTGAAGATACTTTAACAAATTATACTAAAGTTGAATTTAATATATTAAATACCTAGAACAGTCTGTAATAATTGATCTGATTAATCGTATTATATACTTTACTGATTCATAAATATTTATCAACTAAATTTTAAATGATTTTTAGATTATTTTATATATTGGAATTTGAGGTATAGATTCATATCTTGTAAAATAAAAATCTCATTTAGACTACAAAATAAAATCTCTTACTTAAAAGAAACAGTAAGCAATCAATATACTAATACTGCAAAGCATACTGATTTTAAAATAGTCAAATTCTAACGTAAACTTATCTTAAAACTATTTTATAAATCTTACATTTTAATTATTCTTTTGCAAAATAAATGAACGATGTTTATCACAAAATATTTGGCAAAATTCTGGCTTAATAATAATAAGTAAGCGGTATAAATAATTAGCAATAAATAAATAAAAATGAGTTTTAAGCCATTTATAAATAATCAGTCCGGAATTAAATTAATAATAATAAATTTTAACAATTAGGTATTAATGTGATAAGTAAAAATCTAAGTTTATATAATCAAGTGAATTTTACCAACACCACCCATAATATTTTGGCACGACACAATTTTAAATACTAAATACATTAATAAATACAACAACAATAATTTGTTTTAGATAAAATTAATAGTTAATGCCAGAAGTCTGCCGATATATTAAAAATCTTTCCAAACACATTAAACACACAAGATTACGTATTTCTTCTTTGGTAATAATTTAAAACATAATAATGTTTTGCAATTTGTAAAACTTATTTACAATAAATAAATAACTCATATTAGTCCAAAAATAGTTGATTAATATATTTAATTGATATATACTTATTGAAAATATTATTGATTATATAATTTTGTGGAAATTCTTCTAATATAGTATTTATATTTGTTGAACTATTAAAAAGTTTGATGAAATATAAAAAAGAATTGCATCAATTTTTTGAGGAGGCTATTATGAGTTGTATTGAAGTTATGAATTATAAATTAATTTATTAGAAAAATAAAGTATTTCATTATAAATTAATAAATTAATAAATAATAAATAAAAATCAGTCATTTACGTATAATAATACGACTGTATAATAATACTATAGAAACGACAACAAAATCAATATAGGAACAACAAAGCTACGTTTTTATCAACAAAATCCAAAAAAGCATGTTTAATGTGTCTTTGCCGCATATTTCAGTTAATTTTTTAATTCAATAAAAAATTATAAAAAAATAAATTTGTCTACTCATGTTTTTGTGGTGGTGGTGACTCTTCCAAAAATGCGCATCCTGGATACACCTCCATCTGGTGAAATGGTTAGACGGATGTGAGAGAATGGTCCTGAATTCACAAAGTCTTCGTAGAAGTGTTCGCTGTCCGCTTTTAACTAAAATAGACAGAAAATTTAAAAAATATATAAAACTGCAGCTGGAATATTTGTTTGAACATACATGCATTCGAGTATTTTTTCTGAAAAAAATCCACTTATTTATATTTTTTCTACCTCACCTTTGTGCTGTTGATGATTGGTTTCCATTCTAGCAATTTCAAACTCCTATTGTTTCTATCTCGACTGTTGCTCACCAAAGCACCTTCCATTTTCATAGAATCCGGAAAGTTACCCTTGAAATGTTTAGTATCAATCAGCACTTTTTCTATGGTGCCAATTCCACATAAACGGAATATCGCCCATTCGTTACCTGGAAGGTAATAAATATAAATTGAAACTAGTGGAATTCATGGCATCGTGCCTTAAGGACAGTTGTTAGAACTTCCCGTACCGTAATTAAAAATTTTGGTACGGAACCAGCAGATTTATTACAATTATTTACTCCCCCATCCCCCCTATCAGCAAAAGTAAGCAAAGATGTCACCAAAATGTCACCCAAAATCAATAACCCCCCCGCCCCCCTATAGTGCTTACATAATACTTGAACGGCCTGCCTTGAACGGTTGATCCGTATTCCCAAAATTGTCGACAAAAATTTGTATCCGCACACACACACATACATCTATTTTTTCTAAGGCATGCCAAAATGCTCAGAATCCTTTGAAATGTTAAGATATATAAAAATGTTCATTTTCGATTTTTTTGAGATTACTATAACTTGCTCCACTGGAAGTTATTAGAAAATTCTATATAATAGACAGAATATGGGGCAAATAAAAAAACATGAAGGAGACAAAAAACCCTACTATCAAAAGGGAACTGAATCAGGAAATATGAAAGCAAAAGATCAATAAGTATAAAGTGAACGAAAAACAAATCATATATGATACTATCACAGCATGTACCAATTCACTAACTTTCTTGGTATTTGTTCATTAATTATAACAATAGTAATAACGAGATCTAATTAGTTCGAGTTTATTAATTTCTCTCTCTGTTATCATGCTGACCTCTGGCTAACTTCAACCTAAACGTCCTAATTTAACCTCGCAATCTATTACATTATTATTTATGACCATATAAATAATGTGTATATATACATTTAAATATATATTTATATAAAATATACATACATAAAAATCCTTTAATATTTACCTGGAACGAGCAGAATTCCTTTATCGTCGCTTTCCAGAATGGCAGGTCGGTCCAACCTTCTGGCGGTTTCCCAACCGTCACCCATATTTAAACCTTTGCCTTTCTTGATTAAATTTCTGCAAACCAATTCAAATTTAATTATCAATTAAAAAGATAAAACGTATCAGCATTACTATATATATAAATATTCTTCCTCCCTTACCTTGGGTGTCCAAAATGTGCGTTAGAAAATCCAACGCAGAGTCCTCCGTTCTTCATGCTGACCAGGTCCATTGTCCTGCCGCCCTTGATCAGGTTGACGTCGGGTTTGACCTCGCCGTAGACGCGCAGACGGGCGACACCGCCGTCCGGGTAAATGTTAAGCCGGACATGTGTGTAGGTTCGGTCACAATCGATCTGGAAAATGGATAAAACAGAGATTAATTTAATAAATATGTAATTTTTTCATAGTCGACATTTTTTTTTATTATTATTATTATCTCTTTTATTTACAACTATCCAATAAAGGGCATTCAATAAATTTGATGAATTTACAATAGTCGGCCGAAAAGGGACATTGTATACTACAATGGCATGTTGGAAAAAATAACTCAGTAATTGTTTTTCCATTCGATATAAAATTCACAATATTTTATTGATAATTATATAATTTTAACTATTTACTTATTGAATAATTTCTTATAAATAATAATTAAGTTATTTCCATTTTTTATCAGGAGGGTTGATGGCTTAAATCCAGTGGCGCTTTTCTTTTCAAACTTCTTGGATAGTTCTCTGTTATCAATGAGTTTGCTAATGAATTTGGGTGACTGATTAGCTTGCTTCTATACTTCTGTGCTGTTTTTGTTATTACTTCATTTATGGTAGGTGTATTCGTGTCGGCATGAATCAACCAGTTGGAAACATATTTTGGAGCTCATAAGGCAATTTTCAAAAATTTGTCTTATGAGCACTGCCCCACAATTGTAAACCATAACACCAAATTGGTTTGAATAAAGATTTATATAAAATTAACTTATTGTATAAGCTTAGTTTGGATTTAGTCCCTAGTAACCAGTAAAGCTTTTTGGATTTTATCTCAAGCTGTTGTCTCTTTTTTTTATATGAGTTCGCCAATTAAGTTTTCTATCGAGGTATATGCCGAGATATTTCACATGGTCTTCTTGAGGTACTTGAGTGTTTCCTATTCTCACTGGTCTGGTCTGGCAGGTCTCTCTATAGTCATCATTTAGCATCATTTTTACAATTGCAATATCTAAATATTATTATTATTATTGTTCAGATAAAATCCAGTAAAAAATTGGTATCCACCGGTCCCCTTGGTATGAACTTGAAAAAACCGCAAACTTTAAGAAAAATTCTCCATTACGTAAAGCATTTTCGATCTTCACTGATATTTAATCATTTTGGCTACCACATAGTGGCCTATTGACCCTTGGCAATTAATTTGAATATATTTATCCACAAAAAGGTGACCCGATGGAATTATTTTACTAATTCACTACATGTGCGATAGAATTATTCAACAAAAAATCATTGCAGATTTATTTATGTCTGCGATATGTTCAAAATAAAAAGAGCGTAATTGATATTTGTTATCTTTCAAATAATTTCAATTCTATTTATAAATAAAATAATTGCAAAACGCGTTATCATAAATTTGTAAACAAATTGCACGAAACCAAAATAAAAACTTGTACGAAATTATTTTGCAATGCACAGTAGTTTATAATGAAAATTAAAAAAAATAGTTTAAGTGATAAAATCTTGCAAATATTGAGTAATAATTGAGGCAATTATCTTACCGAAAAATAATTATGCCTGGTCTCTTCATAGCCTGGTCTTAAGGGTGTCATTGGAACCAGTTCATCCCACTGTTCGGTACTCAACTCCTCCATTTTCTTCAACTGTTCAGGAGAACAAGCGATACCCATAGAGTTGGATTTTCTTGATGGAAAGTATTTTGCATCTGGGAGGAGGATTCAAATTATATAAACTAAAATCAAATCTTCCGCCATTCAATTATTTTATTTTACCCACCGTCACCATGAAGGGCAGCCGCCTGGAGAGAGAATCTAGGCGCAAAGTTTCCAGTAAAAAAGGCAGTGTTCATCTCAATGCCCCTGATGACAGTGGGAGCTCCCAGTCGGAGGATGCACCAGTCGTGTCCCGCTATGCGTTTTCTTCTGGTCTCCCAACCATCCATCCATTTTCCAAAGTCTGTGAACTTGCCCTCGATGAAAATTGGAGGATCATCTAAATAAATGGATAATGATAATAGATTTAGTGAATTGCATTAAATGTATCCATATGTAGTTTATTAAGAATCATAAAATTATATATTATGCTTGAATAAAAATATAATTTGGCAACTATGAACATTTTTTTTAAATACATATAGTTTTATTAACTTATACATCCATGAAAAGATCCCAAAGAAAGTGATATCGGGTTTAAATCTTCTAATATTCAGTCATCTGAGTAAAAAATGATGTTAAATCATTATGTATATTTTTGTAGTATTTTGCTGGAATTTGGTTGATGAGAGAATTGAAAGACAAAGGTTTGGAAAACTCTCGTATAGAGGATCAAGAAACTTCGTATCATCTCTTGAATAATGATTCTTTTTTTTAACTTCCCAAAGGAGAAGTTTATTAAATAAAATTTCCAGAATGTTTAAGGGTCTTATCTATTTCAATTTAATTTTAAATATTAAAACGTACTTATAAAATACACACACAGATCGCTCACCCTTTATCATCATTTCGGCAGGAGCAAACCAGTCGTCAGTCGCAAATAGAATTTTGCCACCACTCTGCAAAAAAAATAATAAATAAATTATTGTAAACATATTTGTACAATTTATATTTTTATTAAAAGAATTCCTTTATATGTCTTTACATACAAAATTGTAAGGCATCAGAATTATATTCTAATTAATCATTATACAAATATTTAAGTCCTTCCTATACCTAGTTCCTACTTTTGTACTTTCTGAATCAAAAACACTAATATTTTAGGTATATTCCTGGTCTTTGGTCAAAAAATGCTCTGTGCAAAGTGTGGATTCGTTTGTCTATTTTTTCACCCAGTGTACTGCATGCAGCATAATCAATTGGCATAAATATGTTATTTGTTTAATATTTCACGTTTATTGTTTGAAGAAACAACAAATCTATTTATACAGCCCGAGTTCATGTAATCTAACATGAAAGCAAAGATCAATTAATAACTTGCCACGATGGGCATCATGGAAATTTTACTGTTTTCGGATAAACTACGATGACACGATTAAAATAAATCGTTCAAATTATAAATAATATAATTAATATATTATATAATTGAAAGACACTGTATAATTGATAGTGCGCGACTTTCTAGAGAAATAGATATTAAAGACTTTGATTTGCAAAAAAATTAGTATTGAATGTTAATAATTTAATAGCTTAATAATTCTTACTAATAGACATATAGTCTTTTCAATACCCTAAAGTGTCCACTAACTTTAAATAATTTGTTCATAATATTATTTGTGATCAAAGGGTCACAAGAGAAAAATTCTCATTTTTTTAAAATGAGAAGACATCTATTTTATAAATTAAAAATAATCAAAAAAAAAAATTACATAAAAAACAAAATAAAAAAATAGTAAATTCCAAATAATAAAAAATATTGTAAAATATCTTGCAAGTATAAATGTTATTGATAATAATATACACTAATTGAAAGTTAATAAAATTAATAATTTAAACTATAAATTATTGTCAGTTGTATCCGAAAACAGGTACATATTGACTATCAATTTATCAATTAATAATATAATAAAAACAGTTGTTTTCTAATAGAAATTCTCTCTATAAATCTATGCATTAATTTTTCAATGAATAATTCGAATTTTAGTAGTATATGTATATCAGTTATATACATTAGGGTAGTCTTTAATATGGACATTTTCTAATTTCTTTGCTCCCAAGAGCTCAAATGCTTCCAAATTAATAAAAAATAAATCTCTGATAGTTTTAGCTCTTAATATTAACATTTAGACAGTCCGCACTTCAATTAAAATGATCACGTATTTATTATTAACGTATGTCATTAAGTAAATTTTTGCGCCCTCTGTGATAGCAGACTTTTAGCACTTAGAGGTTAAGTGAATTACAAATAATAATATACATATACTATGTAATATTATCAATAATATTATACATATACTATGTGAATGTACAAATAAAATTACAATAATATCTAATAATAATATAAATACTTTATTTAATAATTTATTAACGCAATTCGAATTTAGTGAGCAATAGTTAACGAGTAAAAAAATATTATATGCTCTATATTTGTAAAAATTTAGTCATTCAGAGACTTTCCCATCTGGTCACGAAATATTTCTCTTTAAATTATATTATTATTATTATTTTCTAAAAAACTTACCCCGGCGGAGGCCATTTCGTTCATTTGCGTAAAAGCAGGAGGCACAGATTCTGTTTCCATTTTTGCAATTTTCAGAAAATCTCTTCCAACCAGAAAATCTTCTTTTCAACTGTATGTATACCAAATTAAGCGGTCTGCGACAATTTTATTAGAACAATTAATAAAATTTAAAATTTATTAAATCATTAATAAAAACACACTGTGTTATTTATTATTATTATTATTAGTTTCACTGTTTGTACGAATTTTAGTATCTTTTATCCCATTAAGTTGTTCACTCGTCGGATGATCGATTTCAACTGTCAGAAGGAAGAGATAAGTTTGCCTTTATAAAGACTATTGATGTCGTTATCGTCTTAAAATATTATTACAGTTTTACGTATTCGCTTTGTTGCAACATACACACATATACATATTAATATAGGCATATATACACATATTTATAATAATTAATAAAAACAAATTCGGATTGGTTAATACTGGATCTAATGGAAAATATAGAGTGCAAGAGGTAGAGCTTTTGAGCACCATACTACCATTTTCTACCTTCATTCATGAATATACCCAATTGTCTTAGAGTCTTTTGTTATTAGGAAAAGGCACATATTTAGTTTAATTAATCTAATTTAATTTATTTTATTACAGTATTACGTATTTGATTTGTTGCAACACACACACACATATTAATATATACAGTTACACATATGTATAATTAATATTAGAAACAAATTCGTATTGGTTAATACATGATCCAGTGGAAAATATCTAGTACAAAAGCTTGAGCTATACTACAATTTTCTACTGCCTCTTACACCCAGTATGAGTATACCCAGTTGCCTTTGGATCTTTTGTTATTTGTAAACTTTATTTTAAAACTTGTAAATAGTTCAAAAGTAAATATTTAAACTAAACAGACTGTCCCGATATTTCTCTTTCTCTTAAGGCAAATTGCTTGAACTTTCCGTATCGTAATTAAAAGTCTTGGTACGGAACCCAAAAAAATTTACACAAAATGTGTACACATAGTTAAAATCTCTATAAAATATCTGATAATTTGATGTACATATGTCCAATAAACATTTTTGACCGCAAAATTACATTTTTTTATTCTATTTTTATTGAGAGTCGATAACCGCTGGACCTGCCTTCCCAAAAATTTAATCAGTTCTTCATCTTGTCAATGCAAGTAAAATGTTTTTTGAATTATTAAAATCGGACGCTGCGCTCTCTTAAAAACTGAATTACCGTTTTTGACACTTTTTGCCTTGTATCTTCGGAATAGCTAGACCTGCCTTCGCTAAAAACTAATCAGCACGTCTTGTTATCAATACGATCTTATCAATGTTTTTTGAATTATTCAAATCGGTTGATCGGTTAGTTAATAACTAATACTCCTAATATTCAAATTATTTTAAAACCACGTTTAAACATGTTTTATTAACTTCCCAAAGGAGAAGTTTATGTTTTCATCAAAAAATTCGATTCGCTAATTTTATGTTTTCTCGACGTATCAAGCCATTCTGAATCGAATGAGACCAAATTTGAAAAAAGTATGTGTGTGTGTGAACAGATTTTTTTAATTGCTCTTTGTGAGCATACCGAGTAGCTTTAATTTTGAGCCATTTCTTCTTGTAGGCTATTTTTTACAAAATTGCAGAACATACTAAATTTTATTACAAGAGTTGTATGAATAATAAACGCCAAAACGTCTTGTTTCCGATTACAAACTCAGATATCATGTTTATTAATCCAGAGTCATTTGTTATTAGAAAAACTTGTGGAATATTTAATTTAGTACAAATGCTCCCAAAATACTATGACATGACATGACTAGTTCAAAATATATGAATTTAATAAAAAATAAGTGTCCTATTACAAATTGCATTCCTAGACACTATGTTCATTTTTTATTGTCTTTTATTAATATACCGTGAATATCTAAAGTCATTTGTTGTTATTTGTTAAACTTGCAGACTCCTTAATTTTTTACAAATTGACCAAATATACTGTTTATATTACATGACCAATTGTCCAATTAAACATTCTTAACATCAATCAATAGTTTTAAATTTCAAGGATTTTTTCATTATCTATTCCCATTTTACTGAATGTAATGTTTCTTATTTTTCATAATTTCTTAATACTCTATTAAGAAGGATATAATAGATAAATGTTCTTTTTCTCCGGTCTGTTTTTCCATCGCATCATTTCTTGCAACAAAAATATTTATGGAATATGTGAAAAACTATTTAAACACGTAAATGTTTTTCGTATTAACTTATTCATCATCATCTAAACTGACCAGAGGTCATCCAGAGAGGAATTAAGGGGATCAAATGTAATAAAGAAGCAGAAAATAGTTAGAAAATATCTAAACTTTTATATTATACTTACACTCAAACGAGACGAAACTATAAAAATCATAGCAAATTTAGAAAATTAAAGATTTACACAAAAATTTACATAATGAAACAAACCAAACGCCAAAATTTTGTCAAAATATGGGGAACTCTACAGTAAATTCAAATTTGTAGTTTAATACTTAAAATCTTATTAAAATAAGTCCCAATCCTGATTAAAGGTTCCATTAAGTACATGTTATTGATAATTAAGGTACATGACAACATGATTCCAAGAAATTCCACAAGTAAACAAGATGCATTCACGTGGATGCATCACACCATAAACTGCATATTTATAAACAAATCTGCTTGCATAATATAGAAATAGTTATTGCATGTAAAACCACACATATATGTAAATATTAATATGTATGTTGTGACAAGTTGAGAAAAACGGGTGTTTCCACGCGGGCACGATGATGATGATTTGTTAATAATTCCAGTGGATCCCTTATAACTTACTTATATAAGCCACATAAATCTAACGCAATATAATCCAAAATTCTTTTTATTTGTGTCGAAATTTGAAAAGAGATTTTTTATGTAATGTAAATTTTGAGCTAGATTCAACAGTTTTTTGAAGTAAAACTTCTTTAGGGGCGATGAGAGTGTAAATCCGTACAAATGCAACGGAAATGCGTTACCCAAGAACTGCACGTCATTCGTTCTCGATAAAATCATTTCAATACAGAGATCTGTCGTTGTATGCGTACCGGCATCAACGTTGTATGCGTACCGATATCAACAAAGATATCGGTATAGATAAATAAACATTTTAAAGTTACATCGTAGTACAAATCATGATTTAATGAAAAATGCCTGAATTAGAAGAATATTTTAAACTGTTCCTAGAAAATAATAAAACAAATTAAACATTTGTGCCGTGAACTAAAAGTAAATTTATTGATTAGAAATTATTTCTATATTATTCGTAGTTTCTATAAATCTTTGAAGTTATTAAAATAGAAAATATTTTTAGACAAGACAGATATTACAGCTGTTCAAAGAATGATATTATATCGCCAGCAAAAAAGTAAAAAAAAATATAATCAATGAATGTATGGTAACTTTAATTACATGAAGTTTTTCAAACACAATTACATGATGAGTGAAGTTGCGAAAACAATATTTGTTTAGGCGTTGTTTAACATAATCCACTGTGTGAACGAATTTTATAGTATTTATTAGTCAGCAATTACTTCATTTCTTTAATAAAGGTTTATTTCTAAATGCTAATTACAATGACAAACCAATCTTGTCATATTTGAAGTATGATTTTAATTACATTATTGTTTTTGAATATTATACATATTTTTAATGCTATTATAAATATATAATTTATAATTTATCATTATACAAATGTGTACAATGGTTGACATTAATAAATGTTTGCACCACGAGTATTATCAAATTGCTAATAAACATTATTCAAAATTGTTATATGATATATTTACTTTTACTTAAATGCCATCTTGTACAGTAGCAAGTAAGTTTTACTTCAATCGCATGTGAACCTTACGCGCACTCTTTTTTTCTGACAAATTACCATAATGTGTCCCTTTTTTTATTCAATTGTATTTTGCCATCTGTAATTATTATTATATTAATGCTGACAAGTAAATGGTAAAATTAAGTTGATTACAAAATAGTAGATACCCCCAGTAATCTACCAGAGATAATTAAAATATGATAATAAAAACTAAAAACACAAGGAAAGGAAATAAAAAATAATATAGCAAAAAGCATTATAGTTAATGCTTTGCTGAAATATTGTAGCTAGTATTTCGTAAACTCCATTTAAAATTAAAAGTAAGACATTGGGCCTGTTTGCCTCCTGGCCTTTCGATTTTACCATGCCTATGAAGTAAAAAGGGACAGATGACAAATTTTTGAAAAATAGTGGATGAACACATTTTCATAATTAGGATTTAACTGGAAACTTTACTAAACATAAAACGATAGTTAAAGTAGTGGTTTGTTTGATATGCGTTACTTGTTGTGATGCAATTGGATTGGTTTTCACAATATAAATGCTTAAAGTGGACCTTTGTGCCTCGTCCTTCCCTACATTCTAAAAATTACGAGGGTTCTCATAAAGCAAAAGCAAAGAGATCTAACATAATAATCGCTTTGCAAGTCGCAAATGAAATCACAGCATCACTAACCAATTTGAAATTCTATGTATCATGATTCTTTTATAAACAATAATTATTTGTCTATCAACAGATACGTGTCCCTACGTAAATATGCACTTTAGTTACAGAGTACACACCCACTTGTTATTTATTACGAGTTGTTTTCCATTAAATGACATCGATAGAAAAGAGAAGTCATTGCGCTCGATTCTTTCAGATGGATTACGAAATAAATGAATTTTAATCAGATTATCGAAGACGCACGTTGTTATCGACGTCATTACACTTTTTAACCCATATCAGCACAATGCTTAATAATAATTATAAAAATAACTACAAGAACATTTGTTATATTTAAAATAATTAAAAACTAGTGGTGTATGGCAAATGGCATCGTGCCTGAAGGCAAATTGCTGGAACTTCCCGTACCAAAAATTAAATTTTCTAAAAAAGGTTTTTTTTCTAAACTTGAAAAAAATTAGATTTTTAAGAAATTTTAAATTTTTGAAAAAAATTGAATTTTTAGAAAAAAAACTTTTGGAAAAAAATGTTTATTTTCATTTTGAGATATTTTGAAAATATTAAATTTTTTTTCAAAGCAATCTGCTTTAGCGCCGCGTTGTCATCTAACAAATAAGCATTGGTACGGAACCCATAGGAATGTAAACAAAATTTATACTTA